CGAGGCAGTGGTCGAGCTTCTGCTTGCAACAGAGCAGGTGGATATCAACTTTCTGGATCGATTAGGCAGGACACCACTTTCTCTGGCAGTCTATCGGGGCCACGAGGCAGTGGTCAAGCTTCTGCTTGCAACAGAGAAGGTGGATATCAAATTTCTGGATCGATTAGGCAGGACACTACTTTTTCTGGCAGTTGAAAAGGGCCACAAGGCTGTAGTCAAGCTTCTGCTTGCAACAGAGAAGTTTAATGTTAATCATAAGGATGGATTTGGCTGGACACCGCTGCGCTGGGCGGTAAGGGAGGGCAGGGAGGCAGTGGTCAAGCTTCTGCTTGCAACAGAGAAGATTGACATTAATATCCAGGACAACTATGGCCAGACACCACTGCACTTGGCGGCAACGGATGGTTGTGAAGCAATAGTCAAGCTTCTGCTGTCAGCAGAGAATGTGGATATGGACGTGAAAAACCGCGAAGGCTGCACACCACTCGACATGGCGTTGATGCATGGTCATGAGGCCGTGGTGAAGCTTTTACAGAAACGATAATTCCCACCCACATATAGAGGTGGTATCCTTCAATGTTGACCTCTTGCATCAAGTCGAAACCCAAATCACATGATGTATACAGACCTGTAGTTTTGCATATCTGGCATCAAGAAAATGCATATAAAGACAAGGAAATCTCAAGGCAGGGTTGCAAATCAGACACCTCATGGAGAGTGTCGGTGACGATCAATTTAGCTACGCAGGACTGACCATCAGAGGAACTAGGTAAGAACCGGTAGTGAACAGACCAAGCAGTAGTTCCTCCTTTTAGAGCTCTTGTAACAAATAGAATGAGGGGTTGCTGAGAACTCTGGCTCTTACAAACTGGCGCCGCTACCCAATCCTTGCCACCTGCCAGTCTTGCTGATCAACCTCAACGGAACCCACTTCAATCATACCTCATTCTCCTCAATCAGTCGCCGAACTGACAAAATATGTCGCTGCCACCGGCCAATCCACTGCCTCCACAACAGGAGCCAAGCTGAAATTGAACCGTGCATCCGTGGTCTGATCATAGTACAGTCCCTCGGCAGCCGCAGCAGGCGGAACATAACCCTTTGGCTGGTTGAAGAGGTAGATTGTGTATGCATGCTCCGTGCTGTCCCTGGGTCGCGGGGCGGTATACGGTGCTAGGGCATCGCTTGTGTTGACGAATGTTCGGCCATCCAAGGTGTAGTTCCCACCCCACCAGTGCAGACGAGTGGTGGTATTGGCTGCCAGTCCAGGAACAAGGGTGGGGTACTTGTCTGCTGTGGTGACGTCTGAGTCCGGGATGTTGAGGTCAAGCATTAAGATCATGTAGGTTCCTGGATAGACATGCTTGATGTTGCTGGGGTAGATGGATGGTGCGGATGTCACATCTATCGAGCGATTGTGTTAGTATGTTGAAGGAGTCTTGAAGAACTGCGAAATTTTGGATACCGTACCGTCGGGGTTGATCCATAGACCTGGGGTGACGGTCTCGTTTCCGAACGAGGCGCCCAAATTGATTTGCGTTGCTGGCCAGCTTCCTACTGGAGTCTGTGCCAGGGATGTTGCTGCGAGGAGCGCCGACGAGAGAATTGTGGTGGTGCGCATGGCGTTTGTTGGGGTAGACGAGGGGATTCGAAGTGGCTGTTTGGGGTGAGGGCGAGAAGATAAATATATATGGGTCCGAATGTATAATGTTATTGTACAACCAAAGGAAAAGCAATGATAAACATCGTGGATGTATACGCAGCCATAGGGCGAGCTATGGACATTCGAGACCAAGTGGAGAGGCCTCGTCATCACTGGGGTCATCCTCAAACGCCGAGGAAAACTGGGGATGTCGGAGGTCGGATGTCGGAGGAAACATCTAAATGCGGGCAAACCATGCTGTCAAATCTCGGGCATAGAACATTAATCTCGGTCAATGGAGTCGAGATGATGGTTTGTGTCCTTATGAGTGACCAGAAATGCCTGGTACCCTGGCTGTTTCTGCAGACGGAGATCCTGTTCCAAACATGTGGCTATTTCTAAACTTATTTTCAGATGAGAAGAGTCTTTCACCGAAATTATATGATGCATTAACTAATATCTATTAACAGATTTTCTAGTGTGCTTGGTATCAACATAAATCATAACCCGCAACGCGTCATCAAACATCCAATTAGTGTACAGTCCATCGTGCAGCATGCCAAACATGCAAACCTAATAGTGCAGTATGCTATCAAGCAAGCGATCGACCAAAATCGCCCTCTAATGCTTCTCTCCCTGTTCTTCGTCGTCGCTGAAAGCGAACTTGGAGAAACGACGAATGGACGCCCCCTTGAAATAGAAGACATATGGAATCGCACAGCAGGCGAGGGCGATGAAGGCTAGCAGGGAGCTGGCCCACTGATAGCCGAGTCGGGCGTACATCTGCTCAGTGAATAGAACAGTGGATGCACCCCAGATGGATCGAAGGAATGTCTTGGCGGCAAGGGCGGAGGCGGCCTGGTGCTGATAGGTATCCACTATGATTGAATGAGCAATCGATCTTGGCTGGATGTGCTTGGGGTGACTTACCGAGATAGTTATTGGCCGAGTTATACAAGAAGATGAAACCAAACCCGACGGGCCAGCCTCCGATTGCAGGACCGATCCAATGGAGTCTGGGATAGGAGGTCCAGGCGAAGATGAAGAGCCCGATCGGAATAAGCCAACAGGAGAACATCATCGGAATCAGACGAGCTTCAGCCGGGGGCTTTCCATTATACTTCGTGTACAGTGATAAGTAGTGCTTGTTCACGAATGGTGCACATGCAGCGCTCATGAGAACACCGATAGCGAGAGGGATGAACATCAACCCCGTCGATCCGGCACTCCAGCCTTTACCACCTTGATAAACAACCGGGTAGCTGCGGGGAAGAGAGTTAGAAGATTCGCTCTGTACCGATTTAGGGGACAAATACTTACGCAATGAAGAACATGTAGAGCAGGCCGTACAGGACTGACATGTAGAGAGCGATGAACAAAACAATAGGCTCCAGACACAGAAGTTGGAAGGGACGGAAGAGAGTCATCCGCAATCTCTCCGCCAGCGGTCTCGCATCAAGCTCCATCTCAGTGACGTATTTTGGGTCGTCTTTTTCCTTTCTGAGCTTCTTCGCCCTTCGCTTCAACAGGGTAGGCGCATAAGTCTCAGGGACAGTGAACGTGATCAGCACCCAAGCCACAAAAGCAAGGATCAGCTGCAACCAGTAGAGCCATTTCCAGTTTGTTGCATCGGCAAGGTAGCCACCAGCGAGAGGACCGATGGCCGGACCAAGGAATGGGCTAGCTGAGAAGGCTGCCATCGGGACACCTCGTTCTTCGTTTTTCCACAGATCGGCCAGTGTGCCGCCTACCAGTGTCATCGGCGCGCTGAATGCAATGCCATCAATTGCTCTGCAGACGATAAGGGTCGCAATGTTGGGAGCAACAGCACATGGAATGACGAAGATGACGGCCAAGAGCAAGGTGGATGCATAGACGAGTCTGCGGCCTACAATCTCCGATAGAGGGGCGAACACCATTGGACCTACAGACAACCAGTCAGTCACTCTGAGCTGAGTGATATTGGTAGATATAGACATTTCCAGTCAGGATGATACTTACCGACTCCAAATCCAATAACGAAGACAGTCACCACGACCAAACTAACCTCTCTGGACACACCAAATGTTTCCGAGGGTCCTTCTATATCGGCAGTGATAACACTGCTCGAGAAAGCGACCACGAAGCAAGTGAACGAAACAACCATGGTACAGTACCACTTGTATGCTTTGGACCAGTTCTTGGGGTTCTCCGGATCATCGATGCTGAAGGTGACCAGCCTCCAGTCTTCATCCTTTCCTGTCAGGGCAGACCGCACTGGTTTGATTATCTCCCCGGTTGTTGTTTCCGTAGTATATTCTTCCATGTTGGCTCCATCGTTCACCTCTCGGTATGGTAGGTCCAAGGGGTCCGAATTCGGGGCTGATGCCATTGAGTGGGTTCGGCGGGGATAGTCATTATGGGTCTTGACTCGTTCTAGAGGCTCCATGTTTTGAGTGTGAATAGACACTATTCAGAGACGGATACCACAGTATATGAGGTTGATGCGATAAAGAACATGGTGTCGATGAGCAGACTACATGCCTGCATTTATAGAAATGAGCCATGGACACAACGCTATAGACATTAACACATGAGCAATGGAAAGTTCTGATGATTCGGTCGAGATGCCGCGAGAACCTACAAACAACAGATTAGATGGCAAAGTCTAAAAGATCAAGATGCCCGAAAAAGGCAACCCGCCAGCCCGGACCCACAGCCGCAGGGGCCATATTTCCCGACTCGGTAGTCAGAGCTAGCCGCTTACGGCAATATGGCTCGAGACCCCGATCAGATTATCTCCCTGATCCGACTTGAGATGATAATTCAATTGAAGGGGGTTCTAGACTTCTGCAAAAGATGCTATATACAAGTCATGCCATGGTAGAGGATTTGTTGGATATCTCTGATAGAATTACGTCTGCGCACAGGTAGCTAAGTGAGGTATGATGTATTATGCACGTGCGCGCGCGCGCACACACACACAATACAATACATACCTCGAATCGCGACCTTAAACCTGAACAAACACAGGGACGTTGCTGTTCTCGGTTCCAAGCGTGAAGTTGGAGTTCACCGAGAAGTAGGCCTTTCGTCTGAGGTCCAGAAGACGAGATCTGGAAAACTACCAGAGATGCAGGGCAGAATTGGCTACGAGGACACGTGACGGAATGGCCGAGTCAGCCACGCATACCTTCTCCAGGTGATAATGTGACTCCGAATGGCCTGATCCTGGACCTTGAACAATCCCGTGGATGTAGACGGTCGAGATGAGTGTAGAAACCAATATCTGGCCTCGAAATGGCTGAGCTCATACCGTGCCAAAGCGTTAAGGATTGGATGTGGCTGCCAAAGCGCCGGTCGAAACTCGCAGTTGACGGCAGGGCGGCACGCGGAGCATGTTGCCCGAAACGGCAAGGAACTCAGAGCCCAGGCTCGGAATGGGGATGTAATGAAAATTGAAAAACCTCCCCGGGACCCAATAAATCCCCAGAATGTCCCATTCCATTATGCTACAATTTCAAGCTGCAGTGGGGACTGGCAGTGAAAGATCACATATTGAATGGTGTATAGGTGGTCCTAGCTCTTTGCCCCAGATTGTGGCAGCAACTCTCGAAAACAGCATCATCGAACACAATGACAGAAAATAAGGCTCACTATGCCGGCTAGAGATCAAACTATTATAGCCCCGAGAAGATCCTTTGCAGAAGCGATGATGACTGTTTGACATATACCCTGAGTACAGGGTTTCGGCTTTAGGTCAAGCGATAGGCATCTTAGAGCTCCAGCAGCTCTTGTGAGTGTGTGACTACATAAGAAAACCAAAAACCAGCAGTATCTACGTACTGCACTCCGTACATACCGAGTATGCAACTTTTTATTGCGGTTAATACGAGGGAGCTAAAGAGGGCGGGTGCTGCGCTGCACACCAACAGGGCCAGAGACTCTGCTGAGCTGCCTCAGGCAGCAACACTTTGCCGCCGTTTTCCGGGGAAAAGTGCACCGCACGTGACTGATAAGAAGCGACGATAAGCCGGAAGGAGACTAGCGCGGGGTGGTTTTTCCCACCCTCCGTCAACGGAGCAGAAAGATTAATTTTTGATTGATTCTAAGAGACAAGCAGCTCAAACGCTTCCTCCAGTCTGTTGAACTCACTCATTAGAGGTGTGTCTGTGACACCTCTTTCGTAGAGGACTTCTTTAGTTCTCTTCTAATCCCAGTCTACTCGACTATATCCTTTCCTCTCCTTTCCGCCACCCCGCCCCCCTCTATCCTCCCTCCCGCCTCCCGACCGAGTGACTCACTCTGCACCACCTCAAAATGGCCTCCAACTCGACCTACTTGGCCATTCCCGGCTCTGTCGCCTTCTCCCACTCTCGTGGACGCGCAGTTGCTGCCAGCATTGGAGCCAGCGATGTCCGTGCGCAATGGATTCACTATGTCCACCTTTCCCAGCCTTTGGACGAGTCCCAGCGCGCGGTATTGGAGCAGCTCCTCCGCTATGGTGATATCACCGATATTCCCCCAACCTTCACCGCTGAAGATGGTTCCTTCGACGTTTTCCACGTCTTTCCTCGCACGGGTACAATCTCTCCTTGGAGCTCTCAGGCTACTGGTATCTCTCATGTCTGCGGTTTGCGCCAGTACGTGAAGCGCATTGAGCGGGGTATGAAGGTGTCCTGCCTGCACAGCGGAAGCAGCGAGTACAAGGATGGTTTCCAGGATGTCCTCCATGACCGCATGACCCAGATTATGAGCGAGAACGAACCGGATCTTCACCTGATGTTCTCCGAACACAGCCCCCAACCCCTCGAGACAATCCCTCTTCACGGCAGCGATAAATCCCCCAAGGAGGTCCTCCAGGAGGCGAACAAGCGACTCGGACTGGCGTTGGAAGAGTCGGAAATTGATTACCTGGCCGAAGCCTACGGACCTAACGGTCCTCTCGCTCGTGATCCTACTGACGTTGAGCTGTTCATGTTCGCGCAGGTCAACTCCGAGCACTGCCGTCACAAGCAGTTCAACGCCTCCTGGGTCATTGATGGAAAGCAGATGCCCAACAGTCTCTTCTCCATGATCCGCAACACCCACAAGAAGAACCCCGAATACACCGTGAGTGCTTACAGCGATAACGCCGCCGTGCTCGAGGGAGATCACTCCGCTTTCTGGGCCCCTAACACGACTACCGGAGAATGGGGCCACACCAAGGAACAGGTGCACTTCCTGGCTAAGGTCGAGACCCACAACCACCCTACTGCCGTTTCCCCTTACCCGGGTGCAGCGACCGGATCCGGTGGAGAAATCCGTGACGAGGGCGCCGTGGGTCGGGGTTCCAAGCCTAAGGCTGGTCTTGCCGGCTACTGTGTCTCTGATCTCAACATTCCTGGCTTGAAGCAGCCCTGGGAGTTGGATGTTGGCAAGCCCAACCACATTGCTAGCCCTCTGGACATTATGCTTGAGGCTCCTATTGGAAGTGCAGCTTTCAACAACGAATTTGGACGTCCCTGCATTTCAGGATACTTCCGTACCCTTCTGACCGAAATTGATGTTGGCAATGGTCAAACTGAGGTTCGTGGTTACCACAAACCCATCATGATTGCTGGTGGTGTCGGAACTGTCAGACCCCAGCACGCCATCAAAAAGCCCGAAGCTGTCAAGCCTGGCGCCTACCTTGTTGTCTTGGGTGGACCTGCTATGCTCATTGGTCTGGGTGGAGGCGCTGCCTCCAGTATCACTTCGGGTGAAGGTTCGGCGGATCTCGATTTCGCCAGTGTCCAGCGTGGCAATGCTGAAGTCCAGCGGAGAGCCCAGGAGGTTATCAACGCCTGTACTTCCATGGGCGATGCCAACCCTATCAAATTCATCCACGACGTCGGAGCTGGTGGTCTTTCCAATGCCCTTCCTGAGCTCATTCACGACTCTGGTCTGGGTGCTACTTTTGAGCTTCGTGAGATTGACAGTGCCGACAAGAGTATGAGCCCCATGCAGATCTGGTGCTGCGAAGCTCAGGAGAGATACGTCATGGCTGTTGGTGAGGAGAGCATGAACAAGTTCACCGCCATCGCCAACCGTGAACGTTGCGGTTTCTCTGTTGTCGGCCGTGGCGGAGGTACCTCCGAGGAGGAGAAGAGGCTCATTCTCTTGGACCGCGAGTCCACCGAGTACCCCAAGCCGATTGACCTGCCGTTGTCTGTTCTTTTCGGCAAGCCTCCTAAGATGACCCGGGTGGTCGACTCCCGCAAGTTGACGCTTCCCGCCGTTGATGCTAGTCTCTCCACATACCTCCCGTCCCTCGCATCCAACCCGCTTGAGATCCTTGGAGAGGCCGCTAAGAGAGTTCTGTCCCTCCCGGCCGTCGGATCCAAGTCTTTCCTCATTACCATCGGTGACCGGACTGTCGGTGGTCTCACTGCTCGTGACCAGATGGTTGGCAAGTGGCAGACTCCTGTGGCCGACGTTGCTGTCACTGCGACCGCACTCGTCCAGGGCGTGAAGTCTGGTGAGGCCATGGCCATGGGTGAGAAGCCTACACTTGCTCTTATCTCGCCCGCTGCTTCGGCCCGTATGGCGGTGGCTGAGTCTCTCATGAACATTGTTGCTGCTGATCTTGTTGACCGGTTGAGCCGCGTCAAGCTTTCTGCTAACTGGATGTCCGCCAGCAGCCATCCTGGTGAGGGTGCTGCCATCTACGAGGCCGTGGAGGCTATTGGTATGGAGCTTTGCCCCAAGCTTGGCATCAGCATTCCCGTCGGAAAAGACTCCATGTCTATGAAGATGAAGTGGAAGGATGAGTCTTCACAGGAGGCTAAGGAAGTTACCGCCCCCATGTCTCTTGTCATCTCTGCTTTTGCGCCTGTTGCCAACTACCGCAAGACCTGGACCCCCGCCCTGCGTCGTCTCGAGGACGTCGGCGAGACCGTTCTGATGTTCGTCGACCTGTCTTTCGGTCGCAAGGCTCTGGGTGGTTCCGCTCTTGCTCAGGTCTTCAACCAAGTTGGCGACGAATGCCCCGACATCCGTGACATCGAGATCTTCAGAGATTTCTTCGATGCCGCTCAGCAGTTGCAGGAGGCAGGCATCGTCCTGGCCTACCACGACCGGTCCGATGGTGGCCTCTTCACTACCTTGGCTGAGATGATGTTCGCCGGTCGCTGCGGTGTTGAGATCATGATTGACAACATCTGCGCTAGCTCCAACACCAAGGATGTTGTGGAGACCCTGTTCAATGAGGAACTGGGTGCTGTCTTCCAAGTCCGCAAGGAGCATGAGATCCAGTTCCGCTCTTGCTTCGCCACCTGCGGGCCTCCTGCTGGCTTGATTCACAAGATCGGTCGTGTTTCTGAGAAGTCCAAGCAGAACCTCACCATCTACCACAAGCACACCTTGGTTCACCGCAACAGCCGTGCCAACCTCCAGCAGACCTGGGCTGCCACGTCCTACCACATGCAGAAGATGCGTGACAACGCTGCCTGCGCTGATCAAGAGTATGCTAGCATTCTTGATGATGCCGATCCTGGTTTGTCTTGGAACGCGACTTTCGACCCTAAGGACAAGGCCATGCCTCTCTTGACCAGCCTAACCCAGATGTCGCCCTTCAGCAACAAGCCCCGTGTTGCCATTCTGCGTGAGCAAGGTGTCAACAGTCAGGCTGAGATGGCTTTCGCCTTCAACATGGCCGGTTTCTCTGCCGTTGACGTCCACATGACGGATGTCATCTCCGGCCGTGTCTCCCTGTCGAGCTTCGTCGGTCTCGCCGCCTGTGGTGGTTTCTCCTACGGTGACGTTCTCGGTGCCGGTCAAGGTTGGGCCAAGTCCGTCCTGCTGCACGACAACACTCGCAACGAGTTCCAGTCCTTTTTCCAGCGCCCCGACACTTTTGCCCTGGGTGTCTGCAACGGTTGCCAGTTCCTCTCCCGTCTCAAGGAGTTGATCCCCGGCGCCGAGAACTGGCCCAGCTTTGAGCGCAACGCCAGCGAACAGTATGAGGGACGTGTCGCTTTGGTCCGCATCTCCGATCCCGACCCGTCTCGTCCCAGCGTCTTCCTCCACGGCATGGATGGCTCTTCCTTCCCTATCGCTGTCGCTCATGGAGAAGGTCGCGCTTCGTTTGCCCCTGCTTCCGGCACTACCGCTCAGTCTTTCGTTGCCGAGGGTCTGGCCCCCGTCCGCTACGTGGACAACGCTACCCTCAAGCCCACCATGAAGTACCCCGCCAACCCCAACGGCAGTCCCGAGGGTATTGCCGGTGTCCGCAACGCGGACGGTCGTGTGCTGGCCATCATGCCTCACCCCGAGCGTACCGTCCTGGGCGGCATCGCCAGCTACCTTCCCCCCAACGCCGAAGAGTGGGGCGACATTGGGCCGTGGGGTCGTGTCTTCCTCAGCGCCAGAAGATGGGTTGGTTAGACGCTTTGTCTCGGTCCTTTTACTGCGCCTAGTTGCAATGAGATGTATATCTTTTGGAGACGAGAGAAAATCAAATACAAGGTCACGGCGCATGTCTTGAGTTATTTAATGATATATATACAACAGCAACCCCTTTTCTTCGTTTCCCACTTTGCTGGAAATGATGCTTTATGATGACATGTGCAAGAAAATATGAGTGTTCAAATAGTTTCACCTGGTTGGTTGTTCTAGGTTTAGTGCACGGCACGAACACAGAATGTGAATAACTTTCAATCAAATCCTTCATCTTTATTCTCTAGCCAGTATAAAGTAGTATATAATCGTCCATTTCACCTCTATTCTATACATCCGGTACAGAGCAGATAGGGGACGTGTCGACAGCCCCAGGGAATCCGACCCAACCTCTCTAAGCGAGGGTCGGTCTCAGCAACCGAGCGCCACAATCCCGAAAAAAGGAGAACTATAGGACTCCTCCAGACTGATGCACCGTCCCGGCTGCTTCCACTCGATTCTGCAGGTACAGAACGTGCCCAGCGCAGAGGAACTAGCCCGGACAAGCTTGAACCGGAGTCGGAGAACACAGTAACCAGCCCCAAACATGGCACGATCCTGCCTGCCACGGCCAAAGCTTATCCATATATGCACTGCATTATATGAGGGTAGTGTATGCTGATCAGCGGCTTAACCCGCACCAGCAGAGGATCCTTCGCGTCACCGGTCGCGCTGGTTCGTTGTCTCGGTCTGCAGGATTCCATGTCAACCCATTTTCCTAATCGGGTCCGGAGATTCAATGCTGCTTAGGTTCCTGAGCTGTACTGGACAAGTGGCTGAGAATGTGGGATGTGGTGTGTGCTATTCCATCTTATTGCATGTCAAGATGAGCTGGGATTTGTTGTGAACATTGTCAAAGATTCTATCATTAATCGCATCAATCGCATCGATTGCATCAATTGCATTATCTTGTCTATGGATATTAGTTCCCCCGTGGGGAGAATATTGATTGCAATCGGGAGATATTGCTTCTTTCGCCGGGCGTGCCTTGCAGCCCACAGTTTCGCAATACAGCTACCCAGGGGGGGGGGGTGAATTCGAAGCCAACATCCCAGACCCGTCAGCAGATGTCTGGATTGGCCGGATTCAGAATCTCCGGCTCGCCACGATCCTTTAGGGTCTGATCTTGCAGACTATGTATTCTAGAAGGGGGGTCCAAGAATACTAGTATTGCTGGGCGGGGGGCCGAATTGCCCAATACGGAAATTGGCGGTTTCGGACCCCATGCGCCCTATACGGGCTCTTGTTTCGGCATCCATGATGGCATGATGATTCTTCCGGGTATTTTGGATTGAATACTGGGGTTGGGCTGTTTCTGAAGACTATGGACAGGATAAATGACTCCAGTATTGGAGTTGCGACTGGTCATTGGAGTGAAGATGTGGGTGAAGTCATCGGCGGAAACTGAAATAAGCGAGACATCTACGGCCCCATTACCGCCGCGGGCTACCATGCAATGGGGGATCGGCGATGGATCGCGTGGGTGAAGGAATCGAGGCTGTTGCAGATTAGCTGACTGTCGTATACTGAAACCGCCGGTTGCCCCGTCATGCATCCTCCTGGCCATGTGGGCTTGGACCTATGGCATACATTGAGGTTGATTGACAAGTCTTGTGTATAAAGAGGCCTGCTGCTCAGCTACAGGACGACTCTTTTTTCTCAGCATCGACCACATCAGCAGCACTGTGCGTACTTCGCCTCTCTCAACATCACTCAACAACCTTCTCAAGTACCAATCATGGCTTCCAAACTCTTCAAGGGAATGGCCCTTGCAGGCCTCCTCTCCACCGCCGCCGCTTGTTCGACCGAATCAGACGTGACGGTCACCTTCTATGGATATCCTGACAACGATCCCCCCAGTGCAGACATCGCCTATGACTGTGGCCGTGGATACACTGCTGGCGGTAAGTGCAGCCTTCTACGTTGACGACGACAGGCGAATTGACAGTATGCAGGCACCGGTACCTACAGCGATCCACTGACCTTCGCTTCCGCGTCCGGCGAGTTCGAGCAGTGCGAGATCATCTATCTCCCCTACCTGAAGAAGTACCTTCGGTACGAGGATGAATGCGCCCAGTGTAGTACGTTATTTTCCACCGGCATCGACATCAATAACGCAAGTACTAACTCGCCACAGCCACGGACTACAAGTCCGGCAAACTGCACATCGACATCTGGACTGGCTCCAACTCCGACGGAGGCGACACTCAAATCGACTGCGAGAACAGCTTGACTCCCGACTCCCAGTCGATCGTCCTTGACCCGGCGAGCTCGTACACCGTCGACTGTAAGCCGGAACCCTTTCGTCGCTATCGAGTGTTTCGCTAAAGAGCGTTGAACCCACTGACTTTTGTTCTGCTAGCCACCGCACTTTTCGCCAACGGCAAGTGCTACACCTCCAACACCTACAGTGGTGCTGTGGCGTCGACCTACTGCTCTTCTTCGGGATCCGGGAGCAGCTCCGGATCCAGCTCTAGCTCCAGCTCCGGATCCAAACCGACCTCGACGGCAAGCTCCGGCTCGTCGTCCTCTTCGTGCTCTTGGTCGGGTCACTGCGCCGGTAAGTCGGCTGTGTCTGTTGTTGATTGATTGAGTGGCGCTTCGTCTGTGATACTAAGTACTGTGATGGAATATAGGTGCCACCTGCTCCACGGAGAATGATTGCTCGGATGATCTCACCTGCCAGAACGGCAAGTGTGCGTAACTCGAGTCTGTTTTTGAGTTCTACTGTAACATCGGTGCGTTGTGCAACGGCTAAATCCGAGATTCAAAGAGAGCTTGGCTGGCGGACGAACCGAGAGCGTAACGCATGTATAAATAGACGAAGAAGCTGATTTGTTGAATGTATTGGTCTATAGAACTGAGAAATTTCACCACAATGTATGGGTAGAATGATGTTAGCATGCCATGAAGCCGATTGTAGCTCTCAAAAGTCGAAGCCGTTCGGCAGCGGCCCGATCCCGATGACGATCTGTTTCACATTTCAGGAGACAGCGGAGGGTGCGAAGTGATTACACTCCCTCATTGTGTTCATTTTCCCCGGGTGCATTCGTGTTACAGCCACGCAATCCGTACTGGGTGCTGAGAGACATTCATGTGATACTAGTGGCATTCCAGGAAATCAACCAGCCTTTTGGAACATATATACCCCTCGAGGGGAGAGAATGAAAAGCTCAAAAGCTCACAACAGCTGCAACAAACGATAAGACGTCAACATGATCTCCAAGCTGGCAACACCATGGATCGTTCTTCTGGCACTGCTGCTGGTACCCACTTGGCTTGGTAGACTCGCCAATGCCGATGAACCTCTGCCCTCGAGCAACGAGACGGTAATTAGACGTGGCTTCTGCATCATTGGCGGTGGTGCAGCGGGAACCTACGCTGCTATTCGCCTCCGGGAGCTGGGTCAGGATGTTGTGATCGTGGAGAAGACAGCCCGTCTGGGTGGCCAGGCGCAAACGTACTTCGACCCAGTCACGCGCAACCCGATCGACTATGGCGTGAGAGCATACGATGATTCTCTCGAGACTAGGAGATTCTTCAAGCATTTTGATATCCCGGTGGAAATCGATACTTCACGAAAAGACCTTGAGACCCTGAGATTCGACTTCCGCACGGGGGCGTCGGTTCCGCCATATCCAGGCAATACCAAGGCGGCCATTGAGCGCTACACCGCAGAACTTCAGCGATATTCGTATCTGTCTCAAGGATGGAATCTCTCCGAACAGGTGCCGGAGCCCCTTCTCGAGCCCTTCCGTGACTTTGTCAAAGAGCACTATCTGGGGCCGGCGATGGAGACAGTGACCATGCTTAGCGAAGGGATGCACTATTTGCTCGACTATGCAACTGTCTATCTGTTGAAGATCGTCTCGTTGAGTCGGCTGAAGGGTATGCAAAACGGCTACCTTGTCCCCACGCGTCGCAACATAACGGAAGTCTACGACGCGGCGCAACGAGAGCTGGCGGAGGATCTCCTGCTCAACAGCACCGTTGTGCATGCTCGGCGGTCAGATGACAAGCTTCACCGACTGACAGTCGAGTCGGACAATGGCGAGAGAGTCGTAGTTGAAGCAGATGCGACTATCATGGCTCTGCCCCCGAAGACTGACGAGATGGATGGGCTCGACCTGGACAGTCTCGAGTCTTTCATCATCCGTCAGTTCCAGTACGGGTACGTCTACACGGCTCTGATCAGGGACAGCGGTCTTCCGGATGGTACCCGGGTTTTGAACCGCGGTCTCGATACGCCATATAGGCTTCCCAGGTACCCATGCACATACTCCATCCTGTCTTCAGAGGTTCCAAGTGTCCACCTAGTGACTTATGGGAGTGCAGAAGAGATGAGCGAGCAGGAAGTTCGAGATGCAATCGTCGACGATATCCTCCGACTCCAGGGTCTCAATGCAGCAGAGCCAACATTTCTTGCCTTTGCAACCCATAGTCCATACGACATGTATGTCAATCGAGAGGCGATCAAAGCAGGGTTCTATCAGGATGTGAACGATTTGCAAGGGCATCGCAACACTTATTGGATCGGAGCCGCTTGGGAGCATCCGGACTCGTCTGCTATTTGGAGGTCTGTTGATCGCTTGCTCCCTGCGATCATCGGGGATTGAGATTAGAGTCTTGGCCTCCGAGGGGCCGTCGAGGCAGGGAGAAAGCGGACCTGGAGACACGCTCACAGGAATGGATAGCTAGACGAGCACAGATTGTGAGACCCATTGATAGCTAGTTCCGCATTGAGTAATGATTGTGCCGCCCTTTGTGTGTGTTCATATCGTAGATATCGTCCAAGTCAGGCCAGGTGCTTGAATTAGGTTGCGATAAGCTGGCAAATTTCCCCGCTTTTCCCGCTTTCTTCCCGAGTGCTTATCTTATCACCCGGTCAGTGCAAGGGATGGGGGTGATTTGTCGAATCACTCGAGGTCGGACAAGTTGATAAAAAGCCGAGAGGCAGCATATTCTGTCTTTCCCCAAATCTCTTGACTCCTTGCTCGGTGGGAGGCTCTGTACATCACCCTTCATAATCATGGCAGAGCCTTTGGGTGCGGCTGGTCCTTCTGAGAGTCGCGATACTGGGGACACAACTGCCCTCGCATCGCGCGTGTTGCGCAAGGTGGATAGGCGACTGATTCCCCTGCTTTTTGTCACCTATCTGCTCAACTATATGGACAAAGCCATCCTCTCTAGTGCTTCGGTGTTTGGATTGACGGAGGACACGGTGTGGTGAACTGAGCCCCTTGCAAGCTTTCAGAGTTGCTGACGAAGTCCATCACAGCATTTGGTCGGACAACAGTACAGCTGGGTCTCGAGTATCTTCTATTTCGGGTATTTCTTTTGGGAATGGGTACGAGCGATGTAATGGCCCCTGGAAGTAATGACAACGGCTGATTTCCTTAGCCCACGAACATGCTGATTCCCCGAGTGCGGGTGGCCAAATACCTGGGATTCAACACACTCTTTTGGGGAGCGGTGGTTGCGCTGACTGCCGCCTGTGTGAATTACGGCGGCCTTTTGGCTGTCCGGTTCCTGCTCGGGGTCGCCGAAGCCACTATCACACCCGCGTTCATGTTCATCACCTCGACCTGGTACACCCGGGATGAGATCCCCTTCCGAACGGGGATCTGGTTTTCGGGGAACTCGGTCGGAGGCCTGATTGCTAGCCTGCTTGCCTACGGCATCGGGCATATTGAGCATCCACTCCGACCGTGGATGTGGATGTTCATTATCTTGGGTGTTGCAACCTTTCTTTGGGGATTCGTCCTGCTGGCTTTCTTGCCAGATAGTATCTCCAGCGCCCGATTTCTGACTCTCGAGGAACGAGAGTTCATGAGCAATCGTGCCGTCATTGCTGGCACAGGTCGCACTGAGCATACCACCTGGAAATGGGAGCAGGTAGTCGAGTGTATCCGAGACCCGAAGACCTGGCACCTGTTTGCTATTGCTCTCTTGACTCAAATTCCGAATGGAGGTACTCAGAATTTCGGGAATCTGGTGATCAAATCATTTGGTTTCACGTCTCTGCAATCCACGCTGATCAATATCCCAGCCAGTGTGATCAGCGCGGGAACGATCGCCGTGACCGGATGGCTGGCGAGTCGTTCCAACAAGCTGAACTGTATTCTGATCGTATGCGTGATCATCTTTCCCATTATTGGAAGCGCGATCATCTACGCCCGCGCACACCATGTTCCCTTGGGAGCGCAGCTATTCGGGTACTTTCTTCTTTCAACGGGTCCTGGGGCACTGCCACTGGTGATGTCCCTGTTGCAGAGCAATTATCGGGGTGTCACCAAGAAGATGACGATGACAGCCATGATGTTTGTCGCATACTGTGCAGGTAACATTGCCGGGCCGCAGCTGTTCAGGACCAGTGAGGCACCCACGTACCCAACATCCTTCCGCGCGATTTTGATCTGTTATGTCATTGCTGTCGGACTAGCCATCTCGTTGCGCTGTTATCTGCAGTGGCTGAACGCGAAGCGAGACCGGGACGAGGGCATCCAAGGCAGTGCAAGTTTAGCTGGTGCAGTGGGAGGGAAGGTAGCCGGCGAGCAGCGCGATGGGACGGACGTTTCGGTGCTCGTACAAACTGTGGAACTGAGCCCAGCGGACTATGAGGACGTGACCGACTGGAATACGGTCGGGTTTCGCTATCGTCTATGACTCCTCATCAAATTCTGACGAAAGAGTCGAGCCAACCGACAGGTGCTTTTGAGTGAGTTTCGCCGGTAGACCAAGTTAGGAACAATGCTGTAGCTGCGGCTGGAGGCCTGCCATAGAGCAACTGAGCCGGGGTGAATGCAAATGCATCAGGGCATATTTCTGGTTGGACTTCAAGCACGAATAGGCAGACAGCCAGTTCCCCACAGACTATAGCAAAGAGTAGTACCTAGTAGAAACAAGATCAAGTTCAAGGTTGTTGGTAGAGGAGGAGAGTGGCAGATCAGGGAAGGCCGGGGTTGCTGCCAGCCAGCGGGCAGTCAGTGGTTTGTCGCGTTTGTTTACCAATACCAACCAGGCAGTCGAACACCATCGCAGGCGCTGGACACATCACCCTGCGCAATCAGTATTGCGACACTTACAACCTTGGATATCATGCCAGCTCCTTCATCGTCATCACGTACTTCTAAGCCCGTGTACTACACTACTACACAAATGTGAGAATGACTATTACCCCTCTTGTTGAGAGATTTTGATCATGGCTGCCACTAGCGTCGCGTTTCTTCGGGGCTATATCATCGGCAGAAAGGCAGGTTGCGACACGCTATCCCCGTCGCTCGCCATAGCATTACCTATAGGTGCTGAGTAAATAATAGCCGAGCCAGAATCTTGCACAGAGTCCAGATGCTACGAAAAGCCGATGACGATAGCAGAAGTGCCACCAATGATGGCTAAAACTATCGAGTGATTGCTCGGATTCCGACGGGGCCCCGAGAGGGGATCGGCAGGGGTTATTGAACTCATGCAGAGAATGACATGATAACCACTTCGCTTCTCCTCTCAGTCAACCAACAAGCGTAGATCAACACAATACAAGTCACACAACAAATGCATCTGGCAGGTTCTGCGCGGTGGTTGGGTTAGTTTCAGTGGTCAATGATTGTCCCCCGCGGAAACACAGCGGATGTAACCTTCATCTAAGTGTTTCGAGGCATTGCCGCAGACGGACTGATCGTCGCCCATTCGAGCTTGATCCTGGCAGTGTACGTCCCATGGCTTGACACCAGCTGCACAAGATATATTATCATGGATGGTGCCAAGCTTCGTTGAAGCAACACATCTTGCAACATTTGGCCTTCCCCGCCCGCCTTCGGGATTATTTATTTACGGTCGCCCAGGGTGTCGCACAAGAATCTCCCATCCCAAGTTTGCAATTGCCCTCTGCCCAGCTTGCTGCGATGAAGCTTCTTGCCACTTCTTGGCTGCTGTCCACCTTGTTGGTGGGCGTAGTGCAGGCCGTTCCCCATGCACAGCGAGACACAGTGTCCAAGGTTGTCAAGAGGGGAATTGAGTACACTGTCTACCATCATGCAGCTACCGGAGCAAACTTGGAGATAGTCAAGAACTCCGGAATCTGTGAGACCACGCCCGGGGTCAATCAGTACTCAGGCTACCTCTCAGTAGGAGAGGACATGAACATGTTCTTTTGGTAGGAGATGCGATCTTCGTCCGGGTTCTCATCAAGCTCACGGATCGCCTTAGGTTCTTCGAAGCCCGCCGCAACCCCAAAACGGCGCCTTTGACGGCTTGGTTCAATGGTGGGCCTGGTTGCTCGTCTATGATCGGGTTGTTCCAGGAGCATGGACCGTGTCGATTTGTCAATAACGAGACGACGCCGTCCTTGAACCCTTACAGCTGGAACACCTACTCAAACATGATCTACATCGATCAGCCCATCGGGGTAGGGTTCTCGTACGGTAACGATGCTGTGAATAGCACAGTCACGGCTGCACCATTTGTATGGAAGTTGCTGCAAGCATTCTTTGCCCATTTCCCTGAATATGAGAGCCGCGAATTCAATTTGTTCACCGAGGTATGTTGACAAGCTAAGTGGTTTGGTGAATTCCTCCAGAGATCTGATAGCACTGCAGTCATACGGTGGTCACTACGGCCCTGAATTTGCTCACTACATTCAACAACAGAATGCCGGGATCAAGACGGGCGCTGTTACTGGCGAGACCATTAACATCGGGTCTCTCGGCATCAATAATGGCTGGTTTGACTCCACGATCCAAGAGAAGGCTTACATCACCTATGCCTTGCAGAACCCCTACCGCCCCTTGATCAATGCCTCTGCGGGGGCCAAGTACTACAAGGACTACCAGGAATACTGCGTCCCAGCCATCCAAGCATGCACGACTTTGGGGACCAACGCCGCGTGCATCAAGGCCGGCGACATCTGTGGCGACCTGATCGACGACCCGATCATGGAAAGTGGCGATTGGGATGTCTATGATGTGCGCGAGCCTTCGGATGACCCGTATCCTCCCGAGACCTACTACTATTACCTGAACAATGCGGCCGTGCAGCGCGCGATCGGAGCACGTCAAAACTACTCCGAATGTCCTGATGCTCCGTATTACAAGTTTGCTGCCACAGGTGATGGTATGTAGAGACACCCTTCGTTCTCTGAACATGCACTGATGACGGTCCACTAGGCACGCGATCTTTCCTCGCGACCCTCTCCGACGTGGTTCAGACTGGCATCAATGTTCTTCTCTGGGCTGGTGATGCGGACTGGATCTGCAACTGGATTGGCGGGTTTGGTGTGGCCAATGCGGTGGAGTTTGCAGGCCAGATGGCTTTCCAGAACAAGACTCTCCAGCCCTACAAGGTGAATGGGACGGAGAAGGGCACTTTCAAGACGGTCGGAAACTTTACCTTCCTCCGCGTGTATGAGGCTGGCCATGAAGTTCCCTACTACCGTAAGTCATCACTACTGCCTAGGTAGCCATTTCGAGGGAGCTTCGAGTTGTTGACTTGATTTTCTCATACAGAGCCGGAGACCGCCCTTCAGGTGTTTTCCCAAATCATCAAGAAGGTGCCTCCGTTTTCAACTTGATGAAGCGGTGAGTTTAGAAGGGCCGCATCCAATGTTATTGGCCAATGCAATGATCACAGTGGCGGCGCCTCGTGCGCAAATGAACTCGAAGTGAATCTACTCGATTTGCAGAGGCGGGGAGCCAAGAGATTCCGCGTCGGACGGCAAAATTGTGCATACTAGCCGACTGATATTTTAGCAAATACTGTCCACAATATGAATGACGGAGACAAATCCTACGATGTTCTCTTTAAAAGTTTGAAGTTCATACTCCCGTTCTGCGGTATTCTTTTTGCCAGTTGACGGAAAATCATTGGCGCAAGGGACGCAAGGGCCATGGTAGAAAGAGGAGTAGATGCAGTTCATGAGAAGCCTTGCTGCGACTGTGATTGAGCTCGGAGTCGATATATGCATGCTGCCCAGCGGTCGGCGACTCGATAGTATATCGGCGACTGAGCTGATGCTGGATTGTAGCCTTTTGAAATCTCCAGCAAAGCGGTGGGCGGCAGGCGCGCGACGCGATCATTGCGCATGGCGCCGGGTCAGATGAGCTGGAATTAACGTTCCAGCCCTGAAAAAAGCAATGGCCTGCTGTTTGGTTGTGGTTCAATTTTTGGGGGGCGGTCCTCGCATGCTGTGACTAATGAATTGATAATGAGCCTATAAACTGACGGAGTATAGTTAACTAACTATGAAGGATGAGTCAGGGGCGGCTGAGAAGTGGTTGACTCACAGATACGGAGTAACTACGGAGTACGGAGGTACGGAGTACCGTCCACGTCCTACAGTAGGGAGATACAGTTCACCACCTCCGCATCTGAACGGAATACAGTCGACAAACCACACTCAACCTTATCTTATCGAGTTGTTGTCCATCAGCCCATGTTTCTGAGACTCTAACCACAACCGGACTAGTGGCCCCGAGTAAAGTGGACTCCATCCAGGGTTCAGTCCGTTTTGTTCAGCCTCGGCCAATCTCTACAACTTTCGCCCCCACTTGCAGAATGTCTCCCCGGCTCCAGGCTCCGACCATGAGTCAATCTTTTTGCACTGCCTGACTTGCTTACAGATCTCACTTTTCCCCCGCGCTCTTTCGATTCCCACCCGTGGATACAATACATATCTGGAGTGATTTTCCATGATTTGGTCCTGAAAAAATAGGCAGGACTTCCGAATAGCTTCACCATGGAAAAACCACTCCCCGTCGGCTACCGCTGGCGCTCCTCCCGCTCCTTCATCGTCTTCACCGTCACCGTCGCCTTGTTCGCCGAAACCTTTCTTTATGGCTTCCTCGTCCCCATCCTGAGCTACATGATCGAGGTGCGGTTGGGAATCGACCCGTCCGAGACCCAGCGCTACATGACCACCTTGTTGTCCATGCATGGCTTCCTGGGAATCGTGGCTGCCCCGATCATCGCGCACTTCGCCGACAAGACCCCCAACCGCAAGATCCCTTTACTGCTGGCCCTGGGTGGATGCTTCGTTGGGACCGGTCTAGTCGCTTCGACTCTCAATGGTGAGTGTGATCTAGATCCTTGATGTTTCTCCATCGCATTGAGGCGGCGATGCTGACTGCTGGACAGTGGCCGCGCTTTTCGTTGGGCGCACGATGCAGGCGATTGCCGGGTGTGCTGCCTGGGTGGTGGGACACGCCATGCTGACCGACCACATCGATGCGGATAATCTGGGGAAAACATTGGGGCTCGCGATGACTTTTGTGACGGCAGGAATCATCTCGGGACCGACCGTGGCGGGAGCGATGCTGGAACTCTTTGGATACTGGGCGGCCTGGTCGGTTCCTCTGGTCGTGCTGGCGGTGGACATTATCGCCCGGTTGATTATGCTGGAACCCGATCGATCCAGCCCTGCCGCAGCTGCGACGCAGGATGAAACCACGGGTCTTCTGTCGGATAGCTCCGAGGGTCAACCGACCAGCACCAGCACCACGCTCACCGATGCTTCCTCCCCTCGCCACTTCTACCAGATCATGCTGAGTGACGGGCGGGTTCTGGCCGGCCTGGCGAATACCTTGTTGATGTCCTCGATCTTCTCCGGCTTCGAAGCCACGCTCCCGCTGCACCTCCGGGATGTCTTCCACTGGGGCAGCTTGCCGACCGGATTGATGTTCTTCTGTCTGCAGATCCCCTCGTTCTTCCTCTCCGCGGCCGCCGGGTGGATGCGGGATCGACAGGGACTCCGCAACCCGACGGCGCTGGGCTGGTTCATGTTGGCACCCCTGTTGTGGCTGTTGGGGGTGCCCGGCGACGACAAGTTCCCCTGGGCGAGCGCCGACACCAACGGCAAACCGATCTTCGTCACCACCATGCTGGGTTTCGGTCTATTCTCCATGTTGGTGCGCGGAGCGGGTAGTCTGCAGGTTACTTGTGAGTGCGATTCGATTTTTCTCATTGTTGTCATCTCTCTCCCACGGCATGTGCTAACCAAGAAATAGGGGTCGTGAAGGAGAAACAGACCAAAGACCCGCTCATCTTCGGACCGCATGGAGGCAGCTCGCGCGCCTTCTCCATTGTGGAAATGGCCTTTGGGACCGGCTCGATGGTCGGGCCCTTGATCGCCGGGTCGCTGTCCGAGACCGTCGGCTATTATTACTCGACCACGGTGTTTGGTGAGCGTTTCCTGTTCCGATGGTGCATGAACTGACAAGCCCGCTAACATCCTTTTTGCCTTCAGCCATCACCTGCCTCGCGCTCGCCGTGGTGACCTACAAACTTTTCGACAGCAAAACTGCCAAACCTGCTCGACCGGCGGATTCGAACGCTTGACGAGCTAGACGTGCGCGCATGGATTTTTTCAATGACGACAAGGATATACCATAGACGACGGAGATGGAACTAAAAGTTTGTTTTGGCTGCATGGGTATTTAGATGCATAATGGATCTGCCTTCTTCGTCACTCATTCTCGTGCAATGTAGTCGTGGTGAAACTGGAAATAAAAGAAGTCAAACTCCATACGCCCTAGAGTAGTATCATAGTCTCACGACAACCGAGAATATGCGCAGTCTGTGCGTTTCCGCAGTGGAACGTGCGTTTCCTCGTCGAGATGGCCCGGGCGGAGGGCGGAGAGCCCTTTATGCCCTTCATAACAAGACATTGTTAAGTATTCTCCTTGCTACGCCTCAACCAGCGAAATAAACCATCCCTCGCGAGCATGAGGCAAAAAGAGAAAAAAAAATCCGACCGGTGCATATCGAGGGTCAGGTCAGGGTCGCGGCATGAAGGAGATTCGACAGTGTGTTGCAGGGTGTAACAGCCGGCTCGAGCGTTGAGACAGTGTCGGATTCCGCCCGAGACAAGCTGAGAGCGGATCAGGGGAGGAGGTACGCCGTACGGTAGGTAAATATCCTCATCGCTACTATTTCCGGGAGTGTGGTCTGTATTCCGGGCTCGGGTTTGCGACACCCCGGGTTTGGAGAGAATGCAAGTTTACCTGGGTTTGGGGGGTGGTGCTTCAACTTCAAGGGGCGACTCCACTTGTCCACTTGTTGAAGAGAATGGGGTGTATGGAGGAGTACGGAGTACTGCAGCTGCAGTGAATGTAGGTAGTAGCCCTAAAAGGGGGGAGGGGGTGTAAGTTCAGTTCCAGTTAATCTTCCCTCCCGATCGGAGTGAACGAACACCACCGATATGACGGCTCTTGAGGAGTCTGCCTGATTGTTTGTGAGTGACTGAGGGTGGATAGAATCACCCATATTAATAGAAGTTTTGCCAAGGTTAAATTGAATTTTGACCGGCTGGAGTCTGGGCGCAATCAAAGTGGATCTGGAGGTGGGAGCGACTGAGAAGAGAAAAAAAAAAGGGGGAAATAGTGAGGGGCCAAGCATCTGAAACCTCACCATTCCGCAAAGGAATGTTGCTGGGGTTCACTGGGTGTTTCATTTTCCCCTTAGAACGGTTTGCCAAGTCCCCTTTTTCCCAAACCTTTCTTCGTTTTCTAGAACTGCGATCCATCCATCCACCTTCCCCTTCTCTTTTTCCCCTCCTGATTTTCTTGGGTCCGTTGGCGTGTTTTCCCCCTCCTCCAGGCTCCTTCAAATCAACTCTCTTTCTCTCCCGTACTGTCCCTTCGCGCATATACAACACACCACCAGCAGCCCAGCTACAACCAACAGGAGCTCTTGATCCAATGGCGTCGCACCACTCCCTCCTACACCTTGACTCTAAAAGAGCGCTCGCCGCGATGGCTTCCTCGCTGCATCTCTGGACCCGCAGCGACTGTGACTCGAGCGACAGTACTTGCGGGGAGAAGCCCGTCAGCAATTTCCTCAAGAGCGGTGTTCCGGGCATTGTCACTGGCGTGTAGGTTTTCTTCTTCTTCTTCTTCTTCTTCTTCTTTCTCGTGCGATGATTCAGCTGCCTTGAGGAACACCATCAATTGATGTCGACTAGGATCGTACTGGGTGCTATCGTGGCGTTCATCGTCCTGCATGTCCGCAACAAGAAACGCGATGCCCGCGAAGATCAAGAGATTCGCAAGTGGAACGAGGTCAACGTATGACAACGCTGCCTGTCCTACTAGCCGATCTCCCCGCGACGATGCTATCATGCTGTCCGTGGCGGGGAACCTCTGGCTTCTCTTTCTCTCACATACAACCTACATACCCCTTTTGCACACACACTCTCTCGTGTTATGATTGGATTTATCTGGCTTTAGTCGTGTTCTTTGAGCTCCGTCGCATTTATTTTGGTTTCTACATTAAGCCACTGCATGACCGCCCGTCTCGTGGTCACAACGCCGCGCTATCGAAATGGTTTGGCATCTTGGATCTGGGTTTATTGGTGTTTGCTTCGTTTTCCGGCGTTGGGTTTTTCTGTCTTGGGTCTCAGGTCAGCCAACATGTGCTTGGTCCCTGCTTTCGGTTGATGGTTTGGTCGTGTTGATTTCCTACTTCGACATTCGCGGGCTGGCCGGCTGGACGAATGCGTCCGTCAGTCCGCCGGCTTTGTACCATATTGAGACCGGTCTGTGAAGCAACTCGTTGTTTTGCAGAACGGGCGCTCTACGCTTGTACATAGTTGTATTGTATATTCTACCCTGACTGGCATGGGCCATAAACCACGCTCTGGTCCATTTGACGATCCTGATTTTGCTGGTAATCATCTCTGTGTCTTTGGGAGAATATACGTGTGGTGTGATGTGCTGTTGATGGTTCCGCGTGCGGACTGCTCTGGAATGCGCGTCCTCCGGATGCGGAGACTACCCCATGATTCCAGCACGCCGGAAATAGACGTGGATGGACCACCAGGAATGTTGTGCCATGCTCGGACATTCCGGTCGACCTGGGCTGGGATGACAGCCCACTCGGAAGGGACCGCAGCTTGGGACTGTGTCTGCGGAGTCTGGGGATGTGGGGTACCTTAGTACCTTAGTTGGCGACCCCAGATCCAAGGCCTCTTCACTAACACGTGACATCTGTCACAACCCTCCAAAGTCAATTGTGGGTTTACTCCAAGTACGACCCAGCTAGCCTGACATCATTGTTAATATTGCATCTTACAAGAAACAAGAAGGTGGTCGAGAAACCCGGCGGATAAATTGGACCCCTCTTGCACTAGCATGCAGCCAGCAGCCTGAAGTCCTCTGATTAGTGGGATAGACACTCTCCGGCGTAGCCCTAGTCGCGTAGCTGCAGACCAGAGCTTGCATGATCATCATCCGTAGCTCGCCTTGTATTCTCCACTTGCTTAAATAGCAACACTCATCACCCAGTACTCCCTCCCAATGAGTCAACACAATCTCTTGCCATCATGCACCCCCTCAAACTCCTCCTCCCCCTTACCCCCCTCCTCCCTTCCACCCACGCAACCTCGCACTTCAACCCCTCCACAGTATCATGGCACACCACCCCCGCCACAAACTTCACCACCACCCTCCCCATCGGCAACGGCCGCCTCGGCGCCGCCGTCTGGGGCGGCCCCACCCTCGAGAACATCACCCTGAACGAGGACAGCCTCTGGAACGGCTCGTTCGTCGACCGCGTCAACCCCGCGGCATACGGGGCGTTGGCGCCCGTGCGCCGAATGCTGGCCGATGGCGAGATCACCGCCGCCGGCCAGCGCACGCTGCGCGATATGGCGGCCATCCCGGCGTTGCCGCAGTCGTATAGTGCGTTGGGGGCGCTGCAGTTGGATTTTGGACTGGAAGGAGAAATGGAGGTGGGCAATTATACGAGGGCGTTGGATCTGCGGACGGGGGTTGTCGAGGTTGGGTTTGAGGTTTTGGGGGTGCGGTATAGGTGAGTCTGTTTCTGCTCCTGGTTTGGGATATTGGGTGTGGGGTGTGGGGATGGGGTATGGATATGGCAGTGGCAGGGCTGACGGGCGTAGGCGCGAGTATGTGGTTAGTTATCCGGATGATGTTCTTGCGGTGAGGCTTTCGAGTAGTCGGGTTGGCGCGTTGAATGTCAGTTGTTCGTTGGAACGCGCGGTGTTTGTGGTCGAGAGGAGTGCGAGTGTGGATGGTGAGGGGGTGGGGAGGTTGGTTTTGAAGGCGAACTCGCTGGAGGAGGAGAGGGGGCCGATTCGGGTTGCGTCTGAGGCGAGGATCGTGGCGTCTGGAGGTGAGGATACTTGCTATATGGGGCTGGGTTGTTGGTGCAAATTGCTGATGCAGATTGTAGGGCGGATTGAGGCCAACGGGACCTCGATTGTCGTGCAGGGCGCTACGACGGTGGATATCTTCTTCGACGCGGAGACCTCCTACCGCTACCCCTCGGCGAGTCAGCGCGAAGCGGTGCTCAAGCAGAAACTGCAGAATGCGGTCAACCGAGGATTTGACGCTGTCAAGCACAATGCTGTCTCCGACTACGCTGCACTCTCCACGCGAGTGGACTTGGATCTCGGGTCCTCTGGCGCCAGTGGCCATCTGCCGGGGGATACTCGACTGCTGAACTATCAGCACAGTCCCGACAGCGATCCGGAACTGGTGACGCTCATGTTCCACTTCGGCCGACACTGTCTGATCGCCTCGTCGCGCCGCAGCGCCAACGCCTCATCGCCCGGCCTCCCCGCCAACCTTCAGGGCCTGTGGAATCAAGACTACGACCCCGCGTGGGGCGGCCGCTTCACCCTCGACATCAACCTCGAGATGAACTACTGGCCTGCCCAGGTAACCAACCTAGCCGAGACCTTCACCCCTTTCCTCGACATGATGGACATCATCCTCCCTCGTGGCCAGGCGGTGGCGCGCAGCATGTACCATTGCGACAACGGCGGGTACGTGCTGCACCACAATACCGACCTCTGGGGGGACGCCGCCCCCGTCGACAACGGGACCACCTGGACCATGTGGCCCATGGGCGGCGCCTGGCTGTCCGCCAACCTGATAGACCACTACCGCTTCACCCAGGACACGGCCCTGCTGCGGGATCGCATCTGGCCTTTACTCCGCAGCGCCGCCCAGTTCTACGAATGCTACCTCTTCCCCTTCGAGGGGTACCTGAGCACAGGACCCTCCATCTCCCCGGAAGCAGCCTTCCTCGTGCCCGACAACATGTCTCTCGCCGGCAGCGCCGAGGGCATCGACATCGCCCCGACAATGGACAACTCCCTGCTGTACGAGCTGTTCCACGCCGTCCTCGAAACCTGCACCATCCTCCACCTTTCGTCCATCGAATGCACCCGCGCCAACCAGACCCTCGCGCGCATCAAACCCCCACAGATCTCCCCCGCCGGCCGCATCATGGAATGGCGGCTCGATTACACCGAACAAGACCCCGGCCACCGCCACATGAGCCCGATCGTCGGCCTCTACCCGCTCGCCCAGCTCACGCCCCTTGTCAACATAACCCTCGCAGCGGCCGCCAAGGCCTTCCTGGATTGGCGCATTGACAGCGGCAGCGGGAGTACCGGGTGGTCCCGGACGTGGACGATGAACCTCTACGCCCGGCTGTTCGACGGCGAGGCCGTCTGGAACCATACCCAGATATATCTGCAGACGTTTGCCAGCCCTAATCTGTGGAATACGGATTCCGGGCCCGATACCGTGTTCCAGATTGATGGGAATTTCGCGTTCACGGCGGGTATCGCGGAGATGTTGGTGCAGAGTCATGCGGGCGTCGTGCATTTGTTGCCTGCCCTGCCGGGGAAGGTGGCGACCGGGTCGGTGAGCGGGCTGGTGGCTAGAGGGGGGTTTGTGGTGGATGTGGAGTGGGAGGAGGGGGGATTGAAGGAGGCCAGGATTGCTTCGAGGAGTGGAGGGCCTTTGAGGGTTAGAGTACAAGATGGGAAGGGGTTTAGGGTTAATGGGGTGGCTTACACGGGGGTGGTGGAGACTGTCGTGGGGGGTGTTTATGTTGTTACATCTGTGTAGGTGGGATGGGAATGGCAGATTGGGGAAGGGAGATGCATGCTTGGAGATGGAGATGCATCTGAGACTATGTACCTCTTCCAATCTTTCTCATAAGCTTTACTGTTTGGCTGATGGCAGAGAGAGTAATCATTCACCCAACTGAAGGTATACAAGTATGGCCACATCACGACCAAATGCAATCCATGGAAACGAACATTCGTATCGACAAGGTATATGTGGTCATCGACCTGATATATATGCGAAATACAGCAAATTATCAATTCAAGCGACATAATCACAACCGACTGGACTTCTGCCAGAACCCCTCATCAGGTGTATCCTCCGCTGCTGCTGCAGGCAATTCAGGCTCCGGCAGCCCCAGGGTCCGCGCGACCTCCCGCGCCGCCCAGAAGCCCGTCACAAACGCCAGCGCCAGGCCCCCCGCATACCCGCGGTTACTGAAACCTCCCGCATCGACACCAGCGATCAACAAGCCGGGGATCGCTGTTCTATCCGCGCTGAGAGCACGGCCCCGTGTGTCGATCTGGACGCCTCCATATGTGAATGTAATCCTATAGACCATTAGTTTCAGTTCCATTACCATATGTTCGTTGACGGTGCTTACGACGGCTGCACCTCCATCGCATAGAAAGGACCCTCGCCGTCAGTCAGCGGGCGGGGAGCCGCGCCCGCCGTGCCGGTCGGTGCATCCAGCGATACCTCCCGCTTTCCCAGTCGGATGCGACTGTCGTAATTCTCGAGTGTCCGTCTAGCTTGAATACCGTCCACGCCCCATTCTTCTAGTTTCGAGACCAAGTCCGCGACGGATGTAGCACTGGTGACATTGCACCCGTGATCACGGGCCTTCTGCAGGCGATCGATGTCTCCTGCGTTCGGGAACAGGGCGGAGACACAGTGCTGGAGTCGTGTTTGCTCGCTGCGGGAGTCAGTTGAGTTGGATTACCCAAGACGAAGGGGCGAACTCACTTGAAGAGGAGGAACCCCCGTCTCCCCTCTTGCTTGGCAAGGTATTGATTGACAATCTCGTCCCCGATGCTTTCGTCGACAAATCTGCGTCCGCCCTGGTTGATAAGGAGACAGTACTTGCTCTCTGGTCATGTCAGCGCCGATCTCTGGTAGTGATGCCGTGGAACGTACGATACTGCGCCAGCGCCAGGAACTCCTTCGGGTTCACATCCTCAGCCCGCAACGGCGCAGCCAGGAGATGGCCGTAGTAGGTGCCCATTCCCCGGCTTGTGCCTGCACCTGCCGCTGACGCCAGGACAAGTCCATCGCCCACGGACCCTTTGTTCGATCGCACGAAGATGTTGTCTCCCTCGGGACCCAGATGCGTAGACGTCAGTTGTGCAGAGCCCTGGAATCCACCCGTCGCCAGAACAACCATCTTCGCTGTTACTTTGCAGTGTTGTGTATCCTCGTTCCGCGGGCCACTTGTGCGAATGATCGCTCCGACAAGGCGGGACCCCGCCACGCCGGGGTGCTCTTGCAGGAGCTGCACCACGGAGGTGTTGGTCAGGATCCTGGACTGAGTGTGGCTGTCGCGGATGCGCTGTTGGTGGTATCGGTGGAGATGCGGGATGTTGATCGGGAACCCGATGCCTACAGTCGGCAGAATTGTTAGGGTCTTGTTTTGAATGCTGGAGGGAGGCAAAAGAAGGCCTGACCGATCGTCATGATTCCGTCGAACCGTTGCGACGTCGGAATCCCGTTCACACGCATCCACTGCACTGCGCGAAGATAGTCCGCGAGCCATGCTTTTTGTAAAGCAGGATCGCCTTCGGGAACCCAGGCGCGCAGGCTCTCGTAGTTGCGCGGTCCCCAGCTGGGATTTGGTAGTTAGTGGTCACGAGCGGAGTACTTCTGACAAGGGTGGATGCGCTCACAACATGCCGGCGGAGTAGTTGGAGGATCCCCCGACGGTGGCCTGCTTCTCGACCACCAGCACTCGAGCACCGGCGGAGGCGGCGAAGGCAGCGCAGGCTAGCCCGGACATTCCTGCTCCGCATACTAGTACGTCCACTTCGACTGAGCTCATGGTGCTGTGAGGCGTATGCATCTTGCTATAAAGCATAAAGAGAGACTCGTGGGGGGAAATCGAGGTGAGGATGGTTGTAAAGTGAAGTTATAAATGCCTCTCCAGCTTGGATTGTATAGAAGCCTCCGGCCACTAAAACAAAGGACCGGTCCCGTGCCCGCCCGGCCACTGACTTGGGAATATCGCCGGCAGTCTTCCCTCTTCCCCACATCTTCCCCTCATCGTCATCAACCGGCGCCACCAGACATCGATTTACTTCGCTTCGGCTGTCAATTCTAAGACCCGTTCTATGCGCGTCGTCGTACAAGCATTTCACCTGGTTCTCGAACAGAATGGCGCCCACCAACGCCGGCGAAAGTTCAACCATCCGGCGATCTACCCGGCCCGTGGCGCCATCGGCGTGCGAGGCATGCAGGAAACTTAAGGTCGGCCTCTCATCAAATCAACACATGACCACTTGATCCTAACGGAATACTGAGTCAGATGCGGTGCACCCGGACCAATAGTCTCGACAACTCATCGTGCGATCGCTGCGTACGCAACCATCGCCTCTGCCGGATTCCTCCAGCGCGGCCTCTGGGACGCAGACCCGGGGCGGTGGGCCGCTTCCAAGGCATCGAGAAAGCATACCGGAAAATCCAGGCAGAACTCAAGAAGACACCGGCCTCGATGCCTAAGGCTGCCACGCCAAACAATACCCAGTTATCGAGCCCCAGCGTATGCGAGCCGGATGGTGGGCCCATTTCGGCCAGTCCCTGGAATGACTCCTCCCAGATTCCCTCGGAGGGTGTCCCGGATGGCCCCTCCCAACCCATCAGCAATCCCCTTGCGTTGCTTGCGGACGCATCTGAAGCTGTGCACGCGAATGCCTCTCAAGCATCAAAGAACAATACCCACGAAGGAAGAGGGAGGGATCTACTATCTCGTCCCGGATGTTTCTCGTTGGGCCTTCAGCTCAGTCGAGAGAGTCTGGAAATTGGTCTAGACGCGCTCTTTGCTACCTCATTCAAGCCTGGGCGAAGCTCAGACTACTTCAAACCGCCCGATCCCAGCGCTTTTCGAGATGTTGGACCTGATCTTGATCCAGTTGATCTAGGATTGGTGACCATGGAAGAAGCCCACTTTCTCTTTCCGATGTCGGTATCGTGCAGCGCTTTGACTGCGATAGGAGGCTGACACGGCATAGTTATTTTGCTCGACTGCACCCTGTCAACGGCATCTTGGATCCCTTACTGCATACCCCGGGATACGTCCGGTCGCGGTCCACTCTCCTCTTCACCTGGATCCTGGCTCTTACCGCGCAGTTCGCAAGCACTCAGTCCTCATTAGCAAAGCGACTGCAACTACATGGGGAGAAGCTTTCCCGACACGTGCACACCTGTGGATTGAAATCGGTTGAGATCGTCCAGGGGTATTACATTTCCTTACTGTCCGCGACCCCAGCGAAAACATTAGCGGAGGAGAGGACTTGGCTCTACACCATGTATGCATTTGGGACCGCTGCTGAACTTGGGTTAGATCAGCACTCGAGGTCGCGCGGAGGGGTCTTGGTAACATCCGTTGCAGAACAAGCTCCCCATAATGTTGAGGTTCACCTTGAAAAGCAAACCCTACGATTCCCATCGGCTGTTGGCAATGAAGATCACACTGAGAGCACAGATTGTCAACGGCTTACCAGAAATCGAGAACGCACTTGGTTTCGGATACTACTCTGGGAACGAGCAAACAGCGCTGCGCGTGGCCGCATCAACCATATTCCTGACACGAAGCTCATCGCGGGCATTGACACCTGGTGGAAACATCCGGCAGCTGATGCGGCCGATAAGCATACGTGTGCTTTTATCCTGCTGCGCCGGCATTTGGCTTCAATTCATGCCGAATTGCAAGCGCAGGCTGCCGCTCCGCCGGACGATCCGCACTGGATGAAAAGACTCGTCGATGAGAGGCTTGAGGGGTGGTGTGAGGAGTGGCTTCCCGTGCCATACAATGTGGCCGAACCGTCTGAGCAACTTGCCTCGATATTCCTCTATTATGTGTACTTGCACAATCGACTTTGGATTCTGTCATTTGCTCTTCAAGCGTCGGAGAACCGTAACGGCAATAGACACATCGAGGCCATCAGACAGGACTGCCTTCAAGCGGCGGTTCATACCTGCGAGGTCGCAGTCCGCGACCTGCAAATGGTCGGCGAGCCTCTGTATTGTATGCTCGCACCCACTTGGGCGATGATCTCCTACGCTGCAGTCCTAGCATTGAAGCTCTTTCCTCAGGTGCATGGTACCCAACCGGGAGGGGATATCGAGCTGCTCGCTCTTTTATCGCAGGTCTCCTTGCAGCTGGAGCGCGCCGGGACCACGCCGCCCCATCGCTTTGGTATCGCGGCTTTACTGGGAGAGCACCTCCTGGGAATTCTGCGGACTAAGGCTGCATCGGCGAAGGGTGCTCAGCACAGGGCGGTAGAACATTCCCTGCCAAGGTATGATTCGGGGCATCCTGCTGCTGTAATGTTGGAAAGCTCGGACAATCTGGCTATCTATAATGCGCAGGAACCAGTCTCCGACCCCTGGTTCACAGACGCCTCAGCAGCGATGAGCTACGACTTGACTGGTGATAGTTTCGGTGATTTGTTTCGGGAGATATTCGGTCCAGGCTTTGCCGATTCGTTCTAATCGCATCCCTGGCGATGAGCGGGTGGCACCGAAACACCTGGGAAAAAGCCTGTTCAGACACATGTGCAGATGATAAAGGTCCGAATCAAGGCACAATGGATACCTCACGCATCCACCGCATTTATAGAGTGCCACATCCTGCTACGATCATGCTCTGACGGATCTATCTCATGGTTGGCTGCAATTAAGTTTGATTGAGCAGGTTTCAAGTGTGTATTTAAGTTTTCGAACCCTGTATACTTACTAGCACTTCAACTAAAAGATTATATAGGATGTGCAGGTCGACTTGTACCTGTCGGGACTCGAAGTCACGGTGGTTGGCAAGATTTTCGCGCGTGATATATCGATTCCAATTGAAGAGTTATGTGTGTGATGAACAAGATCGACACAAACCTCGGCTAAGAAGATCAGTTCCTAACCTGTTGCCCCTCGGGTGTCAGCACCCAAGGGATGAACTCAGGTGCGAAGCCATCTTCTGTCACCCCATTCCCAAAGCTCGCATACTTCTGTGTCGGATTCTCGAAACGGAGGTCAAAATCCTCCCAACGAACGATTTCTGTGGCGGCATAGTAATGGTGGTTTGTTCCCGGCCATGGAACCACTACTCGCCCTTCTTTGTTCTTGTCTACTGATGCATTAACAACGGAGACCTCCTTCGAAGAAAAGAGCTATACCTACACCATGAGCTACATGGATCAGACCACGACAGGTGAGGCATGCGGGACTGAGCCCAGCGGACAAATTGGTGCTGCGCTTCGGGCTTGACACTCACTGATCGGAGACAGTCAGTCTGCAGTCGCGTCAGGATCCGAATGATGTAGTCGGACGTCCGTTCGATGCCTGGGATGACAGAGCCGTTCACAGGGCAATGGGGTGGATGGAAAGCTGCAGTGCTTGCGAATCAGCCAAGGATTGACCCTTTGCAGGAATTCGGAGAATATGAGGCCAAACGAACCAAAGAGATTGGGAAATCCAGCCACCATGCTTGCCATGTAGCTCTCATAGTCGCCTTGTGGACCCCATCAATCATTCAAGCTAATTCCGTCTCGTCCGATAACTGGGAAGCGGGAGGCGTAGGGCTCAAAGCCCGTGGCGCAAACGACAAGATCGCAATCGTACTCCTCTCCTGAGCACGTCTGCACGCCAGTCTCAGTCAGGCTAGCGACATGATCCTGAACTAGATGCACATGCGGCTGCTGCATGGCCTCGATGTACGAATCGCCGATGGTCCACCGCCGACACGCTGGGGCAAAGTCTGGCTGGAGCATTCTTCGGAGGTTCGGATCCTGGATTTTGTGATCGTAGTAAGACTCCACCCGTGCTCGCATTTCGTGATGTGCTGGGGTATTCTTCCACAGCACACGGAAAGCGGATGCGATCTGCCGCTCGAGCTGGGTGCGATACTTGTGATACAAGTCGGGGTTATTCGTAAACTCAAGCTTCTCTTCCTCCGTGACTGGAATGATTGTTGAGACGGGTTTCGTTCTGTGAAGGAGTCCTTACATACACCTTTTATTCTCGTCGAAAAGCCCAGGACCAGCCCACGTTTGGCTTCGACAGAAGTTGATTAGCTCTGCAGCGTCTGCGCCTTTCGATCAGCGATCGCATAGCAAGGTTCAAACTAAGGGAAGGACTTACCATACTGCAGGGCACCGACGCATTGCATTCCACTGGAGCCGTTTCCCAGAACAGCAACTCGTTTTCCCGACACTACTAGGCCCTTTGGCCAACACGCTGTATGGCAAATATCGCCGTGACATCCAGCCCTCCCGTGAAAGTCCGGGAGTTTGTAATTATTCAGCCGTTCAACAGCATAGACTAAGACATCCGCCTCGACGACGGTCTCTTCCTGGGTAGTCTCATGCTTGAACGTGGTGATCCAGGACGAGGTTCTCTCATCCCATGTCGCAGACACGCATCGTTGTTGAAGCCGAATGTACTTCGCCAGCCCATGGTCGGCAATCACCGAGTCTAAATAGGCGCATATCTCAGGCGCGGAGGCATATAGCGTGGACCAGCGGGGATTTGGCGCCCAACTATAATGATACCCATGGGATGGAACATCGCAGGCGCACCTAATAACAGTTACTGTGGTGTTATGACTGCTGAGATAGGCAAGGTATTCGCATGGCGGGTGGATCGTACCCTGGGTACCGATTCTCGAACCAGGTGCCCCCGGCGCTTTCGTTCTTGTCGTAGATCTTCAGAGCTATGTTCTTCATCCGTGAGCTGAGATCGTGGGCTATTTGGATCCCGGATATTCTGTTTCAAGACATGGAGTCAACGGTTGATCTGAAATGCAAAATACCCAGAAAAGGAGAGAACCTACCCGGCGCCAATGACAACTACTCTCAGTCGACGGGGCATGAATGCCGTTGGACTTGCAGTCCCATATGCCATTTTCAGAAGAGTTTTCAGAAGAGTCCTATCGGTATATGATTTCTAGCAAGGCTGTGATCGCTAATATGCTGTTGAGTTGAGATAGAATGAGCCATCTCTGGCAATGCAGTTCTCTAAGCTCGAACGATCCATAGATTATGCGATGAACTCAAATTCGACTTGAATCATAGTGGATGATCTCATGAGTCACTTATTCTGCTATCCTTCCTTGTCTCCACGAGGCCATTTTTGGTCGGACGTCAACAACAGAAACGGCTGAAAGCTTAAAGTAAGTGCGAAAATAACTCTATTACTTCATCACCTGTGTTTATTCACATCTGTTCCCTGCTAAGAGTCAACGGAGCTCAGCGCCTTGATCATACTCAACTTTAGTTCTACCATGCAACAGAAGACTTGCCGATTCTCGGGCTGAAGCGAGGCGGGTAGCAGTCTTCTTCCACCTGCCAGAGGTTTTTCTGCCCCGCTTGCTTCAATGCTGTTCGATATAGGGCGGAAAGCGTAAGAGGTTGTTGCTGTTACTCCAGCACGACGGGGCCTGGATCCTGCCTTCTCCTACATACGGCCAGTTTCTCGGTGACAGCGGCCTTTCAGCATGCTTCGATTCCTGGATCCAGACAATATCTCTCCATCCAGATTCGCAGATCACTTGGTCAGAGCCCCACAATTATTTGTACCTCATCGAGAACGACCGCGACTGTCGTCAAGATGCCTTGCCAACCCACTGGTGCGCGCCTTCAATGGTGGATATTCGAGCAATCACGATGCCAGAGCGATAATATCCTGACTAATGGTCTATCCAACAGTGCTGTCGATCTTCGCTTGCTATGTATCATTCGCATACTACATCCAAAGTGACGTAAGAGTGGATGTGGTTTTGTCCTTGCCAGGTTGATGGCTCAGATGCCTGGATGATGTGAATGAACTCGGACATACAAAAGGCCTGGATGTACCTCCGGACTTTTGCCCTCCGTCTAGCTTGAATATCCAGTTCCCTGCATGGGGTGCTATCCTACATAAGCACTACTGTCCCTGCATGGTCTGGGTGATTTACTACGGCTATGCGATCGCATCCCATCGCTCGTTCTGTTCCTCCAGTGGTGCAGATGCTGAGCAGCAAAGCGGCTTGCCTCTGATCTTACGAGTCGTGCGAATCGCTGTTCTGCTCTCTGATTCACCGCGGGCTGCGACTAACTTCACGAAGGATGTTTTTCTGCTCAAATGTGCGGTAGGAGCAGCCCCATGCTTGAAGCTGATAAGGTGAAGGGGGTTGCCGAGGGAGGGGAGGGAGGCGTATCTTGCGCGACACTAAATTCCGATCCCACGACGATGTCCCTCGCCCAGGATGGGGAAAGCAGTCGATCATTGCCCTAATCCAGAAGTTATTATCTCCCTTTCAGTCGTCTGAGTGGATGCAACCCTCCCCTGGCAAATCCGCGATGCAGAAGAAAAGCATGGGCGGAACCCGGATCACCTGCCTATACAAGCCCTGACTTCACCCGCCTGGATCCCCCTTTTATGGCTCTTATACTTTCTCTATCTCATTTCCTTCATATCGAGCTGACAGCTGGTTGGCACGATGTTCCGACCGGCGGATCCAGCGCTCATCGTGATTTCTGAATCAGAGCCAGTCACAGCAGGTCTGTTTTTGGATCATCGGGTGCTCTGACTCAACTTACGGAACAAGGAGCGAAGTCCGACGAGTTGGATCGAGGAAGCACTGGTCAGTTGAGATATTGACCGCCATCGTGCCCCTGGTCGTGATAGCGGAAGCACGAATGGAGTTTTTCTTGACCCATCTCCCCCACTCTTGAAGAAATTTACAGTGGAACGCGATCAACCCACGAACGGCGATCCGCATGCTAAGCACTACTGACAGAAAAGCTTTGCGAGGGAGCAACACCGACCGGAACATCAATGGCATTAATGCCATGGTTGATGGAAAGAGGTTTTTGGATATGTCTGGTGGCAAATGGAGAGATAACATACAAAAGCAATGCAAGAGACGACAAACAACCGGGAAATTGTGCAGATAAATGCATAAACGGAAGCGGACCGGCATAAGTTGATTGATGCCTGCGATCTGAGCTCGGATTTACCCCCAGTGGAAGAAGCTGCATAAGCGAAGTGTCTAGCAGTGATTAGGAGCGAGCTTAGCGTGTTCTACGAGTGGATTCCCTGAAGGCGAAGGAGAACCAAGCATTTGTTTTCCGACGCCACCCACGCACACGCATCCACCCACTGCCATTCACCACTCACCACTCACCCTTCGTCACAACCACTTGGGAAAAAACAGCTTTGGTGAACATAGACCTGGTAATGTTCCTGAATATCGTGCCTCTGAACAGAAATCAGGATCCATCCATGGATTGACAGACAACGGCTTGTTCATCCATTGACAAAAAGAGTCGGATAACACGGATCCTGGATCCCTCAGAATCTGCACATCCAATAACAGACCCGCGATCGGATGTTGACTGGAACCACTCCGACGTCATTGGAGACACACCGATGGAGTTGGGATTCAGGGCACAAGCCATTCACAGCCCATGCACTGGTTCTCGGTGCACTGCACTCCTCAGGAACTCCCGAGATTCTGTTTTCCGAGGGGCCGCCGAAGAATCCCTCCGACCCACTGGACAATGGGACACTTACGCCAGCAAAGGCCCTAAACTCCTCTCCGCCTCGACGATCTCTCGCATCCCATCTCCCAATCCCAGTCCATCCTCCCATCTGCTCCATCCACCCACCAAACATGGCGTCATGGAACAATGGCTTGCGACCGGTGGATATCATGTTTAGGCAGGCCCTCCCCTTCACCGCGGGTCTGCTGGAGGCTTTGTTGTTGCTTAACCTTTCTTTCCCCCCTCTTTTTTTCCACTCTTCTCCCATCTCAGTAAACCATCAACAAACCCGTTAATTCTTTATCAGTTGCAGGGAGACTGGAATTCCTCCCGCTTGACGTGAATCATATTCAGAAGTTTGGCCAACATGAGCGACGCAGACGCCGGACGCGACGCTGAACGCGATTCCGGACGTCCCCGGGCCAGGGTAAGTGCCTCCGAACAACTCGCTGTCCACAGAAAGTGAAGCTGAACTTGGACTTTCTGCGCAACGATAGTCCGACGTGGATCGAGTCCGCGAAGAAGCGACCGGGGCATCCTCGCCCCCTATCTCGCCAGCCGGCCGCGGTCGCCGTGGCACCATGGACTCCGATTTCTTGTCTCCCACCCGTCGCGCCTCCGGTCGTGACGGCGAGCTGGGATCTGGCGTGCGTCGTCGCAGCTCGGCCGCCTCTCGCCGGAGCGGACGCAGCGGTGGCATCCCCAGTCTGGCTCCGCGGACGACACTAGCCCAGCGGACGCAGGGCAAGTTCACCGTGGCCGGGCCGGACGACACGCCGCAGCTGCGCCTGGCGCACGAGCCCTTTGTGCAGCCGGGCTACGGTGACCTGAATCCAGCCTACGAGCAACCCGTGAATGCGCGACCAGTCTGGGGTCTGGCTAAACCCTTGCCTCGCGTGGTGCGGTCGGGCATGGTACCCACCAAGGAGGAACTGCTTGAAGCCCGCCAGAACGCCCAGTTGCCGGCGGAGAACTCCCAAAAGTATGGATTGGAAGTCGACCCAAACGACCTGGAGCAGGGCCAGATCGAAAAGACCACTGACCCGCGCCTGATGGCAGCCCAGGTCGAAGACGCGCGTCTGCAGCGCGAGGCCAACTTCATGAACAAACTCCTGTCGGGCGACACCACCTCCATCCGCGGCTCCCGCATGTCTCGCACCTCGTCCACCCGTCGTCGTCGATCCTCCGCCGTAGGGTGGGAGGAGCAGCTGTCGACGGTGGCCGAGGGCGAGACGCCAGCCACCAGCATTCACGGGGGCGACGACGAGGAGACCGAGGGTCCCTCAGCAACAGCCCCGCCGCACCGCGGGAGCAACGACCATCGCCCGAGCGATGTTCCCCTTCAGCCAGTCCCGGAGGAGCCGGAATGGCACGGCGACGACGACACAGCCGGGGGCTCTCCGAATCTCGAGGAGGAACTGAAGGAAGGGCTGGACGACCTGTCAGCTCTGGAAGACCCAGCCCTGCCGGAGGATCTTCACCCGCTCGTGCAGGAGCTGGTCGAGGACGAAGTTCACAACAACCACACGACCTGGTCGGTGATCCGGACGCACCACCGCGAGGCGCTGGCGGAGGCACTGGGCGTTTTCGTGCAGCTGTTCGTCGGCTTCTGTGCTGACCTGGCTGTCACCTGCGCCGACGCGGGCAACCCCAACACGACGGACTGGGCCTGGGGCTTTGCGACCATGATGGCCATCTACGTGTCCGGTGGTATCTCCGGTGCGCACTTCAACCCGGCCATCACCATCATGCTGTGGTTCTACCGTGGTTTCCCCAAACGCCTGATGCCCGAGTACTTCGCCGCGCAGTTTTTGGCGGCCTTCATCGCAGCGCTCTGCGCCTACGGTCTCTACTACGAGTCGATCCACGAGTACTTGGCCTCGAACGCCACGTCAGGCGTCGTCAACAGCTTCGTCACGAACCAGCGATACAGCTGGATCGGCGGGGCGACGGCCTTCTTCAACGAGTTCTTGGGCACTACGATCCTGGTCATCGTCGTGCTCGCGCTGGGAGACGACCAGAACGCGCCGCCGGGTGCCGGTATGAACTCGCTGATCGTGGGTCTGATGATCATGAACCTGAGTGTGGCGTTCGCCTACCAGACGGGGGCGGCCTTCAACCCGAGCCGTGACTTCGGGCCCCGACTCGCGCTGCTGGCCCTGGGCTACGGCAGCGACCTGTTCACCAACGCGTACTGGTTCTACGGGCCCTGGGTGGGGGCGATTGGCGGGGCGATGATGGGCGGCTTCCTGTACGACTTCTTCATCTTCACGGGTGGCGAGTCGCCGGTCAACTACCCATGGGAGCGGACCGAGCGGGCGATGCGCAAGAGCAAGATGAAGTGGAAGCGGCGGTTGCATCTGTCCAAGGAGGAGACGGAGAAGAGCTAAGCTCTGTTGAGCATCTGTGGCTTATGTCTATAGACGAGCTGTGGGATGTTGTAGATATTGTATAGTGTTGTGTGGACGCGTTTGTTTGTTTGTTTGCGGGTGCACCAGCACCATGGTCGGTTGTTCATTTAGCCTGATTACATCTTAGATTAAATCTTGATGCGCCAGACCCTGAGGATCGTGGCTTAGTGGGTCTGTTATAGCATTATTCCGTGTGTTATGCTTCAGCTTAATCCCGGTCTAAGAGCCTTGCTTTTTCGAACACACTTTCCTCCGTCCGGGTGTAATCCGCCACCAAACTGTAATTCAAGATATAGTACTCTGTACCAAGACTGTACCAAGAATCCGCTGGGTCAAGCAATGCCATAGTGCGGTTGCATACTTGCTTCCCGCCGACATCCATGATTTAAGCGTGGCAACCCTAAGTTGGATAATTCCCACCCTACCATTTCCACCACATGGACATATTTAGCAACAGACGGAGCCACCTCGTGGCAGTCTGTTCCCCGAACCAGCACTGCAGCTTAACGGACCTGCTAACGGTTTCAGTTTGCGCAGGAAAGAGAAACCGGGTTCCAAGTTGGCCGCGCCGCAGAAATCGGACGATGAAGTCACGGGACCCACTTCGACCCTGAGGCCGACCGTGACGTCACGCTTTTATCTCTCTATCAACCGGTCAACACCTTTCTTCCACCATCCTTCATCATGACGCTTTTTCAACGGCGGCCAGCAAGATTGTGGTGCTTGGCGTCGGCTCGGTTCTCCCGGCGAGGAGGAAGAGGAGGGAAGGCGAGATGCACGACTTCAGCCTGATCAACATCGTCTCCGGGTAAATTCTCTCCTACACCACCAACCAACCACCAACCACCAACCACCACCGCCATCAACGGCAATCATATACCCGAATCGCAACAACAACAATACCAAGTTCAATGGAAACCGACGAGCCGCATCTCTCCCCGCTGCGGCGGTTCACCTCAGCCGTGCGCTGGAGCTGGTACGCGATCTCGCTAAGCTGGGGCGGGATTGCGGTGCTGCTGCACCAGACCCCGCACCAATTCACGGGGCTCAACACCATCGGCACGATCGTCTTCATCGCCAACCTGGTCATCTACGCCCTGATCACGGGGTCCTTCATCTTCGAGGCGCTCAGCCCCAGCCCGAGGCCCGGCAAGGCCGCCGCCGCCGCGTCGGGGCCCCCGGACTTCCGCACGCGCTGGCTGCACATCCAGCAGCTGACGGACCTGTACTTCATCCCGATCTCGCTGCTGGCCTTCGCCGCGATCCTGTTCGGGGTCTCCTACTACGGCACGCCTCACTGCGGCCGGTGGCTGGTTCTGACGCTGCACGCGCTGTTCTGGGTGTACACGGCCGTCTCCCTGGTCCTCTGTGTGGTGCTGTCGTGGGTCATCCCGCACACGCACACCACCCCCGAGAAGCACTACCCGATCGTGCAGATCCTGCCCTTCTTCCCGCCGATGCTCAGCGGCACGATGGCGGGCATCCTCGCGCCCCACCAGCCCGCCAACCTGGCCCGGCCCATGCTCGTCGGCGGCACCACGATGCAGGGCCTCGGCATCCTGATGTTCTTCGTCGTGCTCGCGCAGACGGCGCACACCCTCACGCGCAGCGGCCTGCCGGAGGGGAAATTCCGGCCCGAGATGTTCATCGCGGTGGGCCCGCCGTGCTTCACCATCATCGCGTGGTACGGCATGGCCTCCGCGGCGCTCGAGAAGCTGCCGGACTATTACCTCAGCAAGGCGAGCAGCGTGCACACGGCCGATGTGCTGTATATCCTGGCGGTCGCGGCGGGCGTCAGTCTGTGGGTGCTGGCGTTCGTGCAGTTCTGGCTCGCCGTGCTGAGTATGGTCGACGCGATGGTCCGCGGGCTGATCGCGTACGAGCTGAACTGGTGGTGTATGGTCTTCCCCTTGACGGGGTTCGTCTTGTGTACGTGCAATCTGGGCCAGGCGTTGAATTCCCCGGCCATTCTGTGGGTGGGCTCCGCCATGACGATCGGGCAGGTCGCGCTGTGGTTGGTGATTTGTGGGTGTCAGATTGTGGTTTGGGTGCGACGCGGGTGGTAGTTTGGTTTCTTTCCTGGCTCGGGAGATAGACTTGTTGTGGTTGGGTGTATAAAATTGGTTTCTCTGGGTTTAGCGAGGTTTGGCATATCTGCATTTCGCTTTCGCATTAGATTGAGCTCGAGGGGTGGTTAATGCTATTCGTGCTAGATGTGTATAGCATATACTGCAGGCATAATTGGGTGAATAATCACGGAGCACGGAGGAGTGGCAGGTGTGTAGCTGGCTGAACCTGAGGCTGACATACTGAATTCTCTCCGGCGCCCACCGGGTCGTTCATCCCCGGATTATTGAGTTCAGGCGGCTGGTTTTGACTTGGGGCGGAAGATCCAAGATAAGATCATGGCCTAGAAGGTAGATAAATTGCCTCCGCCGAGATCTGGGAAGCGCCAGCATTGGCTGGAACCGTAGCGACTTTGAATCAGGGTCGATGGAATGAGGCCCTGGCCGGAAACAAATATTGTGGACATTTAGGATATCATCAGGAGGGAAATGACTTCTTTCCATTTTCTGGAATCAGTTCATAGACTCTGCCTTGTATGTCCAATAAATTGTGTGTAAACATCTTGGTAATCAATCAAATGACTTATGTCTTCATGCATAAGTACCAAAGGATCTCGACGAGCGTGCCTGCAAGAATATATTCGAACATAGATACCTGTTGAAGATACTGTTCAGCGGACCAGCTGGGTTGCTCGCTCGGCCAACAGTCACATTGACTTGATATGCTATCTTCAGTAATTCGATCAATCGGTTCCAAGCAATGGATCCTGGTTACTTATGGTTACTTCTTCACGGGTTCAGGGAGTATCCAGTAGGCATACACCAAGCCTCTGAGCCCATGCTGAGTGGGCCACACAGACGAGTACATATAACCCCGTCTTGATTCCAACCCCCCACCCCGCCTGCGCACTTTCTCCCCCGCTCGACGGGGTAAGCAGTCTGCCGTCTGCCTCTGGAGGCTAACCGCGAATTGGATCCTCAGGGACAGACAATAAATCTTACTACCTAGCACTCAGCTGCCCCCTCATCTGAGGGGGGCTTATCGAGAATGCGGCTCAGCGCCTCGCTTGCTACGGAGCACAGACAGCCACAAGCTCCCTCCTGCTTGTTCTTCTGTCACGGACTGGACAGGACGCGTGTGACAGTCGACGCTAATGCGTCCGTGCATACGCTCCATGCGCACCGAGTGCCCAAGGAGCTAGGATCTGACTCGCTTGCTTGTGGCTCACGAACATACCCCCGTCCGTCGTCCAATGCAGACCGTGTTGACCCCTGGCCCGCCTTTTTCTCGCTTACGCGACAAGGTAGTGCAGTGCAAGAGTCATCTCGTGCATAGTCATTCTCTAGCCTTAAGCTGGTTAGGGTATTTAAGCCGCTACCCCGCCGGCTTGGCTGGGGATCCGAATGTGGCGTGCACGGCGAATGTATCGATCGCAGCTCTGTAGCATCCATAATTCTTACGGATCGCTGGTTTTCGAGTCGCTGTTGGAGATCGTCTCTCCCCGAATCGAGTAAAGAATGTGTTTACCCGGTATCTGCGACCCCTTCGACCTCGAAGACTGCTGCGGCGGCTCCGGCACGGCCGCGCCCCCGGCCAGACAGCGACCGGTCCAGCAGTTCCAGTCTTCAACCCGCCAGCAGCGAGCGGCAGTGCCGTTAAGACGAACACACTCGTTATCTACCTTCGACTGACGCTACGGAATTACCGTCTTCAGGCCGCCGCCGCCGCCGCCGCCGCCCGCGCACCAAGGCCCACGCAAGGCCAGGGCCAAGGCCAACAGATGCAGTATGCCGCGGAACCCCAGAGCGTCCGATTCCTGTGGCAGGCCCGGGGCTATCTGTGCGGGCCCAGGGGGGCAGAGATACATTGCCCACCGTCAACGTGAGCAAGACGCCGCGCGGGGCGATCGTCTTGGCCGGCGTCCCCAGGGGCTTTCCCAGCATTCAACCCTATGAGCAGGGCCAGTTGGTGAGCGGGTATCTTAGGAACGTCACCAACAGCTATTCGTTCTCCAATGCGAAGTACTACCGCACCAGGAAGGGTCTGGTGATCTTGCAGGGGGCGCAGTTCCGGGCATTGTAGCCGGGGTTGCCAAGTTGATGTCATGGAGGGTTTTGTCGGTGAAAAGTGGAGATAGGTGCTGAAATCGAGCTTTTGCTGCTGCTGCAATGCTTGGCCCTGCTGCAGATGGGTTGACTTGGCACTGTGTATCTGTTACGTAGTATCGTGGGAGTGTTGTTTGAGTGTGTAGATCTCAAAACCTGAATTATGTCTGCAATATATCATAAGCTATCATACTATGAGGTCCTCCGTTCCGAAGCCTGAAAGTTATTCTACTATATTTAACAAAGTCACTTTCTGTAGTATAGTTGTACAATGTTGATGACTTAACTACTTTGCGTTGTTGAGTTCGATGATAAAAAAGATTCATTAGCTTCCTACCGTGCCCAGGTGCCTTCACAATTCAAGTGTGACTTGGTGGTCATCTCTCTAACTCCTTACCTTCCCGCTACCCATACTAATCCCTCTATGAACGATACCTCAAGGTATCTGAAGATAGACGCGCAAACTGTAACAAATTCGCCATAGCTCAACCCTCTACTATAGGTCTACTTCGACGTTCTCAAGACAACCAACCACCCCAAGCCTACTCAATCCACACCAACGACCGCTTCACATCCTCCCCAGCTACAAGACCGCAACCACCTCCTCCCTCAGCCCCGACGCAGTCGACCCCGTCGCCACGAGCACGCGCCTGCCCTCGCCATCCTCCCTCCACTTCAACGGCCCCTCCGGCAGCACCACCGCCCTCTCCTTCCCCAGAACCTCCAGCAACCCCGCATCCAAATCCGCCCGCATCCCATGCACCACCTCGAACCCCCCGCCAAACTGCCGCGGAATACTCTCGTGCTCCACCAGCCCCGCCAACGCAGGGAGCACCTGGCCCTCCGTCAGGATCACCAGCTTAGCGGCGGTGACCGGATCGACGAATTTCTTCATCACGCCCCAGATCGTGCTGAAGTAGCTGGGTGCGTTGCACACCTGTGCCCGGTTAGCGCCGCCACGAGAGCCCTAAGTAATCCCACCCGCTGCCGCATACATGTCGCAACAAACGTAGGACCTCTACCCCGCAACCGGAACCAAGGGAAAAGAAAACCTACAAAAATCGTCTCAATCGTCTCCGGGTAACACGTCGCGAGGATCCAACTGATCTCCCTCGCGAAATCCCGCAGCGTCCACGCCTGCTTGAGGCTGAGCGCCTTGGCGTCGACGAGGTAGATGCTTTTGGTCACGGGCGTGGCGGCGGCGGCGCTGCACAGCGGGAGGATGAAGCGCGTGAGCGTGTCGAAGAAGGCGCAGGCGCGCTGCGCCATGTCCGGGGCGTTCTGGTCGGTCGGCGAGCGCGTGCGGCGCCAGTGAGCCACGGCGTCCGCGTGAAGGTGCGCCACGTCCAGGAAGAGGATGGGGAGGGAGGTGCGCGTGCGTCGGCCGGTCCAGTGCGGGTACTTTTTGCGTCTTATTAGTGTGGTTTTGGGGGGGAGGG